GAGGAACTGTGTGATATCCTGCCCGATCGTTGATGAGTAGCTCCCTGAAAATGGGGCTAAGAATAGAGATTTTGTTGCAAGATTCGGCATAGGCAATGCAAGCATACATGAGACTAAAGTCTGCACTCCCGTAGAGAATATCTGATACGCTCTTCCTTACTATTATATACTCGAAGGTTAGGAGATACAACATCGGCCCGAGAGACAATTACGTACCGGTATCTAGCTTTTCATGCTTTAATGCTAACTGGTATAGCAGGAACTGGGAATTAACGGATAATCCCTCGAGGCTTGCGAGCTTATTAAAACGAGAAGGGGTGATATTTTCTGAACAAGATGCGTAAAAAAGCATCTTCCTGTATTGAAGAGGTCAGACGAGTTCCAGGAGTCTGGCGGTATTGGTGTCCAGATCACGAGCATATAAATCTTTGATTTTGGGCATTCACTTCTTCTGATATAGGGACAGTACTCTACCTTTGGATTATATCTTTGTCGCCTTCTTCCAGAACCTGGTGCTGGGCAAGTTCACACCAATCATATGCGAAGTTGACGTTCCCTGCGTTGGAACAGGTATTCGCTTTGGAAAGGAACATCTAAATTAAGTCAGCCTGAAGAATATCCATATCCGTATCATACCATAGAGCCTTTACCACCCGTGCAGCCTAGCCTGAGAAGGTTCAAACCCAAGCCTGACTATTTTCTGTTTTGCACCGCACAGTGACTCGAATAGCAACGAGGACTGCTTTAAGCCTTCAGGCATATCTACATCAGCTGTACATAGCCGTAGGAAGACTAGCATCAGTTTTTCTATAAGTGCGACTTCACTTTCAAACTGTTGAAGCTTGCCCGATATCAGCTGCTGGAAGATATGATATGCTAAACCTGGACTGTATATTGTCAGTCCTGTGACCAGTTTTTAGGGTTAATTGAGGTTTGTATACCGCTGGAGCCAGAACTGGTGAATGCAACAAAGTATGCTTCATGAGGTTAGGTATATTTTTAGTCAAAGACCTCAAATAATTAGTTGCTAGGTGATTACCTGCTCAGGTGGGATTGGGCAAGTCCTGATTCGATCAGTAACTGAAGATCTATCTCTCACGTTAGTACTCGGCTATTGTAGTATTGTGATAGGTTTCCCTAGAACATACGGTGACTACAACGCGCGTCTCCATTCTCTACATGTGGAATTAGAGCAAGGGAAACCTCAAATCCCAAAAACATAGTACTAGGTTCAGAGCCATAATTCTATTGAGGGTTAGCATGGTGTCAATCAACAGGAATCTAACACATACCTCTTCTAGTTTACTATATAATCTCTGGATAGGTTCTATGAATAGAGTTGAATTTTTCTGTAATTCTAGGTACGCTATGACTAGAAGCAGCACGTAAGATTGGAGACCGAATTGATACAGAATAACTAATCACGTACTAAGTTCGTGTAGGAGAGCTTGTCGAATAGACTCGAACTGTTCATACGTTTCTTGCTCCTCACTCTGTGCAAAGATAAAGTCGTGACAACATTGTAACCATTCAATAGCTGTCGGATCACCTTCCCTTTTCTTCGCTGTTCCGATACGGAAGAGTATGTCTGCAGCCTTTGTCTTCCACTCAAGACTGTGGACAGCAAACGGAATAGGTTGCTGGGCTATTCCAAGCCCCTTTAATCTATCTTTCCATGTCTGGTTGTAATCAAAGTTAGATTTTCTAGATTTGATTCTATTTCTCTCACGAGGCTTACCAGTATAGACAGTTGGAACGAGCATTCTGCAGCTAGTTCACGGGCTTCTGAGGATTCCTCTTTGGAAATCCCAGAATTATGGCGGTCCAGCCTTTCTAAAACCTTCTTGGCAAGATCTGAATAGCCCATACCTATTCCTCTAGTGTCAGTATTGTTCAGCTTCCTCATGTGGTCAATACTAACCAATCATCCTGTCTGTGGTCTGCAGCCCCGCCTTAAACAGACGGTTGTACTCTGGCCCCCTATGTCAACGAAAGCAATACCCTGCAGTATCCACTGTACACCACTCACCAGAACTATCACTTTCCTCGTCCATACCCCATTCTATGAGTAAAAATGCAAGAAACATCACTAAATGGGCCGTGTTAACAACTATACGACAGGGGGAAAGTGGTAACGATATATGACTAACATTTGCCCAGGATTTTCATTGTTTCAATCCGATCGATGTTCTGCGGTTTAGCTAACTCTTTGACGCATTCATTCCACGTTTCCGTACCGAGGTCATCAAGCGTTCTCCGTTTTGGGGAGGCGAGTTGTGTAGAATCAAATGAGAACGACAGAGACAGATATTCATCCAAATCGTTTACGGATGTTAACGTGGCAGGCTTTCCGGGTTTGTTCAGTACTTTATGAAGAGGGGAAAGCATGCGGGACACCAGCACTGTCTGCTTGTTAGATATGGTATGTGAGTATCTGTAGTCTGAGAAATTACCCACGCTGAAGCCACTCATCTATAACGAAAACCATCCTGGTTATCTTGAAGCCTTCCCTCGGATGAAGAGCTAGATAGCGTAGGTTGTTAGTCCATGAGCGGTGATGTTGCTGGATGTTGCGTTCAAGTCAAAAGTTGACGTTGATTTTAACGTCCAGATGAGGCAGTCGTCCGTGCACACTTCCTAATCGGGAAATATCAACACAGCATCATATAAAACAACAAAAACACAGTAAACGGACATATGGTGTGAGCTGTGTCAGATTGATGGGCTTATCTACACTCTAGTACTGAGAACCACTTTCATGTCAGCGACGGACAGAAACCAAAAAAAAAAAAAGGGGAAGGGGAAATGTTGCCATCGTATCGTCTTTGATGCTTTGAAATAGCGCGCCGACAGTTGCGCTATCAACCGGTGAAAAATAAGAAACAAATCAAAACCAAAGGCCCTTGGCCGCGATCTCTCAGCATACAGGTATATGCATACACGAACTCCATGAGACTTAAACCAGAAGGGAAAAGCAATCCATTCGCGGAACACGAACAGCAAAGGGTATTGAATAATATTTACACAAAATAGAAAGTGGGCTAACATAGACAGTTGCAACGTCGAGAAGTTCGTACTATCGATGGACATCTATGCGTTTGGTAGGGAGGAAGTTCCCTACTATCAAGGAAGGACTGTGGAGGGACTGGTTAGCTAAAGGTCGATCAACGTGAGGCTAGAGAAAACAGTACTTACATGTTATGGTTATCTCGGCGGATGGTAAAGGAAAAACAGCAGGGAATGTTCTTCTTTGGACTGTTAGGGTCAGGGCTCTTAAGCGTACAGCTTGTGAGCATCGCCTTTTGAGAACTGTCGAACGCAATGGCACCGAATTTCTCCCAGTAGCTAACGAGTTGATCTTCAACCACTATTTCATGAATAGCAAGTTTACCCTGATCGTCGTTAGATATACCGCATTGGATCAAAGCAGGTTAGCCAAAACTTACATCTCTCAGTGAGTCCATGGGTACATCTATCAGCTGGGCCATCTCCTGATTGCCTCTGAATATCTGTCCTGTTCTTCGCCATAGGCAGGCCGGTATGGCCATACTTGCAAAGACACGGTCGTACTCCATCAAACTTCGCTCAAACCACATCTCAACTAGGACTAGTTCGATATCGGTAAGAGCATGCATACGCTCTCTGAATGCAGGACGGAATTTATCTAGCTGACGAAGAATTTTTTGCCGGGAGCTAGGTTGTAGGTGCTCTTCCATGTACTTGTTTAGCCGAGCATAACCGTTTACATAGTTAAACGGCTTGAGTAGGCCGGCATCGTATTTTGCCTTAAGAAGTTTATTCATACGTTCTTCTGGAGGGTCAGTGCCGGAAGGGTCAGCGGCAGTCATGTAATACGTCTCCTTGGCCTTGTCGTTTCCAACAGTGCTGTTGGGCCGTTGTATGGAGCCTCCTTGGGACGCCTGTGACGGGTTGATAAACTGCGACGGTGATATTGTGGAAGATTGTTGTTGTTGTGGGTATCCTTCATTATTCCGTGAAAGATTCGTGGCCATGGAATTTAGGAGAGACATGTCGGAGTAGAGACCCCGTGCCTCGTCATTGGGGAACATTGATCCGTCGTCTAGGAGACTGGTGCTGAGAAAGTCGTTGAGCAAGTTATACTCGTTGGTGAATTCGGGGGCGTTGAACATGTAAGATGGGTGGAAGGAATGGATATCTTGAAACTGGCTGTTTTGCCCACCAAGCCGCCATTCGTTGTTATAACCCATTACTATGCGAGAAGTCAGTTTATACTACGTGACAGCATATGTATGGTTCGCTCGATCTATCTTACAGCCTTGTTGGCCAATATCGATATTCGGACCGGAAGCGGCTATGTCCTGCGGCCGAGCGCTCTGGGAGGAAGAAGTCAAGGCAGGCGGTTGCATAGAAAGCCCTGTATCGGGTAGTATTGGGTCGTCTAGGGTGTCACGTCCATCAATAGTCTGCGACATGCCTTTACCCTCAAAATCATTGTTCGCAGTTGTACTCTCGTCAGCTACAGAGGTGGCAGCAGCTGTGCCTTCTGTGTCGTTCTTCACGCGTTTGGTAGGTTCACGAGGTTTGTCATGGCACAGATGACCAATGTTGCGTTTTATACAGCGGCTACATGGTCGTCCCTAGAAGAAGCAGAGAAACGGATCTTCCGGTCAGCAAAAGCAGCTCGCCACAGAAAGCTCAACGCGTCATGGGATTGGACAAAAAGTCTCTGAAATAATGGAGGTAGAGATGGTCGTACCGAATCGCAAGTCATATGCTGTTCAACGTCATCACCGAAGATGGTGATCTATGGTTAGCCAAATCTTCTTATCCTGTACAGCCAAATCCAGCATGCAAAACAGATTGCTCATAGCGAGGGCCCCCTGAGCCCTGGGAAAGGAAGGGAGACAACATGGTAGGTGGGATAAAGTGTGGGAAGCGATAAGAAAAAAAAAAGTCAAGAAAGTATGATGATGAAAGGAGATCTTGGAAGCTCACCGATCGACGGCAGTAGACGCATGCTATAGAGCGAATGAATGGTCAGCGGTTTTACTTCCGATGCGCGCCATGGAACAAAAAAGCAAGCAGATAAAGAAAAGAAATGAAGAAATTAAGAAAAAGAAAAGAAAAAGAAGGGCAGCGGCAGCGGCATTAGGAGAATATATACGTTGAATAAAATATATAAAACGGTCAAGGAGAGGGAGAGGGGAAGGGAAAAGAGAAGAAGGTTGAGCCCTGCAGGTCTGATTTGCAATGTGGAACCCGTATAAAAGTATAGAAATTCCATCACCGGCCGGTCGAAAAGAATAGCAGACGGGGGAGGGAGAAGCAGTGACGAGGGAAGATGCAGGTTCTCGCATGTAACCTGCTGGGTGTTGCGGCTTCTTGAGCTTCTGTTACTCACCGTGGTTGACCTTCCGTCTCTTTTTGGGGCTGGAACCCGTAGGCGGCGCCCTATCTGCAGCTTCTGCAGCCGGTTGAGCATCCCCAGTGCTCATCACGCCTATCGTAGGCTTGGCCGACTTCGCGGTGTCCTGGTCCTTCTCAGCTGAAGCAGCAGGCGCAGCAGACGCAGTTGGCTCTGTGGCACCATTGCTATGCTTCCCTTCTTCCAGCGCACCCGTCGCGGTCTCGGCAGCCTCACCACCCATTGCATCGAGTGCCCAATCGTCTGGGATGGACTTTCGGTCAGGTCTCCGGCAGAGAGCAGAGGGTAAGACGGCTACGCAGCCAGAAAAGAGGGTTTCGGTCGTCGGGTCGGTTTTTCACTTCACGGTTGTCAACGTTCCACACGGGCCTGGGCAACGATGGCCTGTCCCATCAGGTACCACTGCAGCAGCGCTCGACGGGGGTTGTGTTTTTCTTCGTGTAGGCAGGGCAGGGCAAGCCAGAGGAGCCAAAGCAAAGCAAAAGAAAAGGTAGCGAAACGAGCAACGACCCGAACGAAGCACGGGCGGGATGGCGGAACGGCGGAACAGCGGGAACGCCCAGAAGTGGACAGACAGCCTCGATGGAGCAGCGTGCAGGCGTCCGTCCAGTGCTGATTCGGGCTGTACGTATATTATGTGTGCGCTGGCGGGAAGGGGTCTGGGATGGCTGGGTTTTTGCTGCGTTGTCCGTCCGGTCTGCGAGTTTCAAATTCTGGGTTTGTCGGCGAACAAAAAGGCCATCGCACCAAACAGGCGTCCTCCTCCAATAGATCCCTTAACTGACGCGCGCTCGAGATTGGTAAACATGGATGGAGCTTCTGGGCGCATGAAGTCTCGCAGTGTCGAAGGGACCTTCGCAGGCGTTGGGAGTTGAGAGGTGGAAGAGAGAAGGAAGAAGCCGAAGAAAGTCAGGAAAAAGGAAAAAGGGGGGACGCCACTCTGGCTGCGCTCGCTCGCAGGGGCGCAGGACGGCCTTTAGTACGTTAACAACAGCGCCAGAGGACGCCCGGCCATGGTAGAGCGCAGAACTCCGTAACAATAGTTATTATTATGCTGGACATCGGGCGTGACGCCGTCGATGCTGCGCAGGCTGATGATTCATTTCTTACGGCGTCCTGGCGCGTCGAAAATCCCTTCACATGCAGCAGTTGGCGCAGTGCCGAGCGATGATACAATTCAATAGTTGATGTCCCGCAGCTACTTGGCAGCGTATAAGAATGGCTTGTTAGGATTATCCTAGATGCTTGCTTGGACTGGAGGAGGGAGGGAGGAGGGTCGGTGTTCTCTGTTTCTGACTCCCACTTGCTTGGGTGGTTTGATATATCTGGGGTTGGTGGCGGCCGTTTCGATGGCGAGCCGCCAACGTTGAGCTGGAGACGGCCGGCCCTCTTGCAGTGCTACTCAAGGCCTGGAACTGCGTAGAGGAACTGCCAGGCAAAGCTTCCAGACCTAGAGGGGCGCAGACTCCATCCGGAGACGCTGCATAAACCTTCGCAGTGCTCCGTGTATGTATATGGAAGTATACCGAAGCTGACATCTCAGACCCTTGCCCAGAATTAATCCGCCCCAGAGTACCTTGCTCGTGCAGGAACGAGACCTGTCTTCCGTCTGTCCTCTTTGCCAAGTTCATCGATCTTAGTAAATAATTGATCCTGCTGACTTTTGCATGATTCCTCCCTTTCACCACATTTTGACGTAATTCCTTCAGCCGAGTGGGAGCATGTCGAGTGCCGCCTTCGCCCGGGAGATTGCCTGAGCGATCCCTCGTACCTGAGCTGCGTTGCCCTGCATGGATTCAAGATGGTTGCGAAGCTGTTTGATCGTGGGAAGGAGGGCTGGGTCCGTGTCGATCTAATCAACGTACAGGTCAGCAATGTTACCATCATACGGGCAGCCGGCATTCTAGGACATACTTCACTAAAAAGACTCTCCTCGTTCTTCACCTCGAGCTTGAACTCTGCGCTTACTGCTTCCTCCACGTTCGATTCGTCAAGTTGCTTGAGAACAGGGTGAACCTAAAAAGGTCAATATATCGGCCAGCGCATTTGTAGACAGCAGACAACAATTAGGCGCACGAACATTCTTATTCAACCTCTTCCTCTCAGCCTCTGCTGCTTTAGCATTGCGCTCTAGTTCCTCCAGCTTCAGCTTATCCTTTGCCAGCTCGGCTTCTTCCCGCTTAATCTCAGCTTGTAGCAGCCGAATAGAACTCGTAGCCGCCGCCAATTGGCTCTCCAGCGCTTTCTATAACGTCCCAGCCCAAGTCAGCTTTCATCAAGTGCCCATTCCATGACCCAAAAGCTCGTCAATTATAACATACACTCTCTCCCAGCGCGCCCTCGTAATCAAAGCTACCATCTCTTGTACCCGCTGGGAATGGCATCTTCGGTAATCGTTTGCCCAGGTTCTTGCGCACTGTCGCGAGTGCCGACTGGGCCTCAACGCGCTTCTTCTCGTCTCGATTCCGGGTGATGACCGGCAGCTCGACCGATTGAAAGAGCAGTTTTACTTTCTCCTGCGTAGAGTCCGGTAGTGTCGTCCATTTCGACTTTATAGTCTCCTCGTTGATGTGTCGTATCCGAGGCTTCAGGGCAAACGGAGCATTGTTAGGCTTGCTGCGTTTGGTGTTTGCTGGAGGGGACGCAGGCTCGTGGGAATCGGCCTGTCTTCGCTTCGGCGGCATCTTGGGGCCTGATATGGACCTGTCCTGTATGGTATCCTGGCTCTCCTCTCTCTCTCTCCCTTGCTCGAGCGAGTTGTAGCTTGCACGTCGTCCGTCTGTTCGGCCAGCTGAAGCTCGTCGTTTCGTGCTTATCGCGATGCCCCGATAAGGTAAACAGTGACTAATCACATAATTATCTGAGTCAGGTGACTGTTTATTACTCCCAAAATCAGTCAACTCTACTATATCGTAAACTTAGCTTAGTCATCATATATTTCCTCCAGCAAAAACAATCCATCGCAAATGACAGTTTCGTTGCTATAAACGACACTCAATCCTACCTGGTGGAGTTCAGCCACTCGGAAAAGTCAAATTCATGCTATACTGCTCATAGCTACCATCATGCATATATCCGTGGCCATGCCTGCAAAGAAGCTCGATAGTACGGTAAAGAAAACCGTGATAACCCCCTCAGACAGATCCCATCAAAGATACGCTAGCGATAGGTAGCCCGAGGCATACGGAGTACATATATTAGGGTTAGAATCTTAGTGGCAGGAAAATACAGCTGTGAACACAGTTCACAATGGCCGTAGCTGTTTCTTTTTCCTTAGCTGCCTGCAACTTTGGCCTCATGTCAGGCACCATATGCATCTCGGCTGATCTGCATTCGAGCCAGCTCACTGCAGAGACAAAAGCAACGTTGATGCCGCCATTGCTTTGAATTTGGTTATAGCCCCCCAAGAATAACAGTAAGTGGCAGGGAAGCTCAAAAATATTGCTTTCGATCTATAGTACAATGGCCGCTGGTAGGTCTATCCAATTGGGAGGATGGGAAAGGCCCCTCGCAAATCTCACCCACAGTTATCCGACGTTATAGTCTTTCATCTGAGTCTATAAACGGCAACACCCTAAGCCAAGCTGCCCTCTCTTCTTCATTCTTAGCTTCACGGTCCAGAAATTTGTTGATTCCTTCGAACAGCTGTCTTTTTGAAAGGTCATAGTCTGCTGTTTCAACTCTACCATCCCAATGTTTAAATGCGCCAGTGTCTCTGATAAACTCATTCATAAGCTCGACACCTTGGGCCCAGAGCTCCACGTCTCGTTCTTGCTGCTCCACCTCGGCAGCAGAGAAATCCAAAGGGCAGGGAATGCTAGGTTTACCGTCTGCGGCCACGCCAACTATCGTAGGCCATGAGTCCTTAATTTCCCTCAATAAACTGTTAAGGCACGGTTCGCAGTCCGTCAACATCAATCCTGGTAGGACGCTAACTTGTTGACGAGGCGTACTATGTCCCTGAAGAGCCTGGAAATTCGTTGGATTTGATCGCACTGTTAAAGCTAGGTATAGGTTGTGTAGCGTTTGGGAATGATAGAGCGCCTTCGCTTCAACCTGTTCTTCAGCAGACATACTGTCAAAATTCGGAGGCAAACTAACCCTCCCGAGTTCCTTGGGGGTCGGACCATTATAGTCCAAGAAAGCCGGGCGGGTGACTTGCATGAAAAGTGGGCAAGCACTGGCCGATTGCCAGTCAATGATACCAACTATTCGAATGGGATCTTCCGGATCAACGAAGATATTTTGGGAATGTAAGTCCCCATGCCACAAGACTGATTCATGCACGGCTTTATTCTCTGGTAAAACGTATTTTAAGACCTTCAGGTAGTTGTTCAGTGCCGATATCTTTTTGGCTGCAGTGGGCTGATACTGCCTAGGCCCGTGGAAGAGGCCTTCTGGGAAGAGGGGGTATTTCAAGCCGGCGTTTACACATGCAATTTCTCTGTTAGCAATGGCTTCCAGGTACGCGGTGATATCAGGCCCTATTCTCAACCATTTAGCGTTTGAACAGTCGATACTTTAAGCATGCAGATATGTCATACATGGTCCACGATCGATGTCAAGTCCCCCTTTGCCAAAGTCAAAGAAAGAACGGTGATTGGTAGGTCCAATCTCAAACTCTGGGCTATACACATCATTGCCACTCCCATCGACATAGAGCGGTGAGTTTCTTTTCGGAGTAGGGAGATCCTCCTTGTAATACAAGGCTCCTATTTTCGTGAACTTTGTCGATGTGAGAATCCTTTCAAGTTCAACCACTTGTTGCAAAATGCTAGCTTTCTGCTTTCCTTTCATAGTTGTCCATACATCACGAAGCATCACACCAGGTTGTTTCTCCATGATCATATATTCAGCTCCCACGGGGTTATCAGACCTGGAGCTCCAGGCATGAACCTTCGGAACTGGAAAATGGAGGACTTTCCTCAACTATGCAAGTCAGTATAGTTTGTATATATGAAGTCGTAGGAATTAGACCAAAGGTACCACCATACAAATTCCATAGTTGCAACTTCACTAGCGGTCATAAAATGTGGTCTTCCTGCATTAGGATTCGGTAATCTTGCAACAACTTCACGTCCGTCATTCATCGTCAGGTGAAACACCTTGTTATAGTGGCCTTCAGAAACTTTCACAATTGTGGTGCATGAATCAGATCCAATCGCACCAGCAGCAATTCTAAGCAATTCCGATATATTAAATTTCATGTAGCGCGCCTTGAGTTGCTGGCTTTCTCCCCAGAGCCATCGGCTGGAGGTAAATTGGTAGAGTGTCTCCAAGTCATAACTAGAGGCTAGTTGCATGGGGTCAGTAAATAAAATTCAACCGAGGAGATGCATTCATACCTCTAGGAGTGTGTTTACCCTGGCCTGTATTATAAGAAGTGGAACCAATTTGTCGAGCTCCAGCCGGACGTGAGGAAATAACGGGTGCTTTCGAAAAGTCATGAATTCGGGCTCTGAAGGGGGCTTTCATCCTATATTCCAAACGTAGACTTATCTCCCCGACGGTCAGGCGTTAGAAAACCAGTTCAAGCGCTATTCGATTGATATTCAAGACTTGACTTGACCGTCGTCAATGATTAAAGGCTGATTTATTCTGAGTTAGCCAATCAAAGCTTGTTTGCACTTGAGTTGTTATTGAAAAGTGGGTCCCACTCCAAGTTGGCCGTGTCTAATCTAATCAGATGATCTTATCAATCTTCAGTGTTTGGCACAAGGCCCCGTAATTCAGACAGCTCTATACATTAATAGTCTACGGGCTAGGAGGGCTTATTCAGTTCACATACACCGTACATCATATTCCTTTATCAGTAATCAGTCATGCCCTCCATGTACGTAATCTACTACCAAGGCGTACCTGCCTTCCATTTATATATATACGTCCGAAATCATGCATTGTCAGGCCATAGTGTTTATTCCATCAACCACGCAGTAAGGGCCACAAGCCCTTCTCGGACCACCTAACTTCAGTCTAACGGAATAGAAGTCTGCGCCCCATCTCGCATAAATGTGAAGACAGCAGCTTATAAATAAAACAAAGGCTTAGTAATGATTAGTCCGCCCCCTGCAGCAGCAGTTCGACGGCGGTTATGCACTCACACGGGAGTACACTAGGTAGTTAACAAGGATTAGATGTAGAAGTACTTGCTTTGAGGGTGCCCATGTTTATTTATTGCATTATCCATGTGAGATGGTAATCTAGAAGTATCCTCTAACTTGGATGGATCCCTGAAGAATACTTCGGTTGCCGAGATGAACATGGCTCATTTATGATTATCAACCACCTCGCTGAGAACCTTCCATTTATCATGATTGTTGCTGATCAATAGCAGGAGGTATCCCGTTATCTATTTTATGTGGGTAACCCGGCCATATAGTTATCCACGGTAAGTAAAACCGCTTGTTCGATCATTTTGCGTTTGCCATATATCTTCTACTTTTTGGCCGCGGAAGTACTTCCTATAGACCTGCTGTGGTTTATGCTGCAGCGCCTGTTGGCAGAAGCCATGAACATTCTGCTTGGCTCGTGGCGGCGAGAGTAACCAGGGTATATATCTATCACGAATATTGCATGTTGCATAACTATATCCTTGTGGTGCCTAGCCCTGAACTGCGGACAGTCACGCTAAGCCTCTTGCTGCTATATAATGTAGGAACAGCCTACTGCCGGTGAAATAGTCAGCAAAGTACACCGGAGATTGAGAAGAAGGAGGGGAATGAAGTTCAACGAGAACGCCATGGGTTCCTTGCCGCTGCCCCTACAGGGTTGATTGCGGTATATAACTGCGACATAAATCCCCTCAATCTAGATGGCTGGCCTCGCATCACACATCAGCCACTCAAGGGTAAATTTTATGAATCATTGCAACTCCCAGAATACAATGAAGATCTCTTTCACTGTCCTGCTGCTCTCAGCAGTGTCCCTCTTCACCGTCGCCAGCGCAGCCACTCCATGGAAATTCTACCGCAGTATTAGTTCCACGGAATATGCCAACACTTTGCGCACAATGACAGACACCGGCTTTCGCCTGACATATATCTCGGCTTATGCCAACTCAGACGGGGAAGCTAGATATAACGTCATCTTCGAGAAGCCCGAGTATACGCCCGCATGGCGCACCAATTACGGTTATAACGTTAATGAATTCAACAAGACCTTTGAAGAATTGAAGACTCAAGGCTTCCGACCTGTGCTAGTGGAAGGGTATAGCTTTGGCGGCGAGCGTCACTACGCCAGTATATGGGAGAACAACACTGAAGCCACCGAATGGGCTGAGCGCAGAAACATGTCTGGGGATGAATTCACGACATGGTTCAAGGGACTGATGAAAAAGGGGTTTCGACTTCGACATCTTAGCGGATACGAGTTCAACGATCAGCAACAGTTCGCTGGCGTGTTTGAAAAACGGGACAGTGTGCCGTGGAAGGCATATGCTGGCCTGACGGCTGCCGAGTACAAGATCAAGTTCAACGCGGCTAAAAGGGATGGGTATTATCCCGTGCAGATTAGCCCGTATACGGCTTGCGGCAAGGTCTGGTTTGCGGGTATTTTCGAAAAGATGGATAACAACAAGGATAAGCCTATTGCTCTATTTGGGCTGAGCCCATTTCAGTATCAGATGAGAGCTGCTGAGTGGGCAATAAAGGGGTATAGGCCAACCATGGTAGACGGATATCTGGACAGAGGAGAGAAGTTCACTGCCATCTTCAACAAGGCTTAGACTGGTATCTGGGGTGATTATAAGGACCTATGCATGCGCTTATGATGTTTATTGCTATGTTAGTTAAACTGTCAAATTTTGTTATTGTTTGCTTCAGTATAGATCATGATTCCCTTGACCATCTCATCAATGGAGCTCAAGTATCAGGATGGCACTCATCCTGCAGTAAGCAACCCGTACTTTCTTCATGTCCAACTTTGAAGGACAATTCATGCAACCCAATGAGGCTTAAAGTGAGGGATTAAATCTAATCTTATCAATCTTATCAATCCCATTTGACCCCTGATGACAGGGAGTATTTTTCTTACCAGTAGCACGACCAGTGTAGATCCTGGAGACATGGCTGGATAACCCAGTATCCCATTCGAAGGCCACCCAACTGTCTATGCCACCATTCGCCCCCCCCCCCCCCCCCCCTGGGGTACCCCAAGGCTCCTGGTTAAAGGCGGGGTACTGATATGCGTGGCATGCGTCCAGAATAGCTGACACTTAAATTCTAGCCTCCCCCGAGCTTCAGGGAACTCATTTCTATAACCAGTTAGTATAATCGAAGATCCGGTAGTGATGATCCAGCAGCTTTTTGTCAAATAGCGTTGTATAACGGGGTTTGCCCCAAAGCAGTTCACCCAACCCAAGGTACCCAAGTCAGGCGGGGTATACTTTCAATATATGGTGCAGACGCCTGGCCTGACGTAACTACCCAGGAATGCTCAAAATCTCAGCTTGATGACATTCGCGTTATCGGGAAGATCGTCCCGAGCCATGCAATTCGCATCTAATACCCATGCGTTCTGTACCGTGGAAAGTGTGCAACCAACCCCACGGCCGCTGCATGGCCCACCGTTTCGTTTCACTTGCCACCCCCAAGCAACAGCCAGCATAAGGACCCTTTGTTTCTCCAGACTTGGCATTTGTGGAAGCTACGGAACCATATCTCGGGTATATAATTTGAGCTATGATTTGGCCAGACAGAGGCCTAAGGTGGAGACCTTGAAATTGGGGGATAGATAGCGCAGCTACCTCCGGAGTCAAGCTGTATCTTGGATATGGGGTTAGTAGAAAATGTTTCAAATAATGATAGGACATAACTATGTGCGGTTAATCCGTTGGCAAGTTTGAACGGACCAATCAAAGGATACCTATTGGGATGGAAGCCAAATGAGGGTATGAATGATTCGACCGATGGAAACGACACCTCCCCATACATTTCCTGGAAGTCGGCTTGGTTGTCATGAGTGCGGAGAGGCTTAACTCAGCTAAGTATAGTTATAAGTTTGCTCTGACTGGGAATCAGGTTGAGGTGCAATTACAAACATCCAGTCGGTGGCGATGGCTGCCGTCATACCCAGACGGAGGCAGAGACGAGAAAGAGGATGAGAGGCCGGTCGATCAAGGAGACAAACAATAATAATCTCCATAACTCCCCTGCACGGAGTCCAAACACCGTCAAAGTGTCAAGGCTCGTTTTGATCACGGATGTACGTATGCATCCAGGACGCTTGTTCCACCAGAGAACCCAGCTATGGCAGGCAAATAACTGGCGATCCGATATCGCCCACCAGCCCGCCACCAGCCAGCCAACCAGCCAGTAACAGAGCAAAAGGAGCACAAAGCTAGCAGCGTAAACTCCAGGAACCCATTCTCGAACCGAAAACGAACTCCTCTAAAAGAGGGCCGTGAGCCAGAGCCAGAGCGAGACGGAAGTCGAGCGGAAGTATAACTCAAGCTGGCCGAAGTTAGGATACCATAAAAAAAAAAAAGCCATGAAACAAGCCAACAAGAAGATGCCGAAGGATGAAACGGAGAGAGCTCACAGACCATCATTCAAAAATCTCTTATTGCTTTGACTTCCCTTCGTCCGCCAACCTCCCAGCTTCTGCGCCAGTAAGAAACTGTTCAGCGAACCGCGGTACATCCACAGTAGTAAATTCAGTGGAAAGAAGCAAAAAAACCGGGTCTGATCTGTCGGGAGGTTTGTCGCGTTTGGGCAAATTCCCCGAACACTCTCCGCATGGGGGAGTTATAGCAGCGCAGTTGAGAAGTGAACTGCTTGCTGTGGTTGGTGTGCCTTCTGTTATATGTGGATGGAAGTGTTATAGGTGGGTTGTGGAGGACGGAGGACGGTGGATGCGAGATGGGCGTTTGCATGCCGCTGGGGATTATCGGGGAGGCCGTGGCCCATCATAGAACAGTTAGAATGTCACCGTGGACACTATGGAGGACGCTGACTATGGAATAAGAGTTTTGTATTATTTATGTAGGTATGTAGGATATGTAGGTAGATGTATGTAATTATGCGAGTGTGGGATGCCGTGCGAATGCCTCGTTACATCGTGGGAGTTAAGTAGAGGGCAGTATATAGGCGGAAGGAGAGAGAGAGAGAGAGAGAGAGAGAGACATGAGTATCATCAGGTAGATAAGAAAGTGAGGTTATACAGACAGAAGCAAGACATGGGGGGTGGTATATATAGTAAACGCGCCAAACAACAAGGCCATGTTAAACAAATAAGATCCGTCCGTCCAACAGAGAATATAAAGGAAATTAGACGATATATAGGTGGCATGATATGTATGTCAGTCAATATGCATGGCTTATGTGCACCCATCTGTCATCCTCCTCTCGCCTTGAGGTCCGCCAACTGTGCCTTGAGAAGCTCGTTGCCAGCCAGGAGGTCTGCCAGCCAGTCGCCTGCTTGCGTCAGCATAGTGCTTTTGCTGTACCCTCCCCCCCTCAGTTCGGGGACCAGCGAGCACAGGTCGTCAAACCCTTGTTTAATCAGGTTTCGGCGTTTCTGCTCGGAGAGGATGTGGTTTGTACGTTTCTGTTCTTCAGACAGATTTTCTCGTACAGGTTTGATGGTGGTGCCGTTTCCGGCAGGTGAAGAGCCTTTTGACTTGCGAGATGATGGACGAGCAAACGATGTGGCTGTGGTGGATGACGAAGAAGTGTAATTTGTTGTGGATGATGTAGGAGTAGTGGTAGTTGGTGACTTGGATGATGACAAGGCGCTGGCGAGTTCTGGGTCTTCTTCTTTTATCTTGTTGTTGCTCTTCCGTCTCTTCTTTGGTCTGTCTTCGTAGGATGGTGGAACTGGATTCCGCGATGCCGCCAGGGACGATGCAGTCTCCTTTCTGTCACAAAGTTTTCGAACGGGACTGGATGGCCGAGTGTTGGCTGCGCTGGACTGGGCTTCTAGACACTCTAGGTTATGGAGGAGGTTTTCTGTCGTTTCCTCGACTGTGGGTTGGCCTGGAGGCAGACGATAGCCTTGGTGAGCAAATCCAGAGTCAGATCCCCATTGTAGCATACTAGGGCCCAGCTTCGAGGCGCTGGCTCGCATTCTTGGTTGCTGATGGTCATTTGCCGGTGAGCGGTGTGCAGCAGGGTCGAAAATCATGGTAGTGGTATGTATCCCCTTCGGAATGACAACGAACTCCTTTTGCGGCACAGACCCGTCGTTATACCGACCCAGCTGCGCACGCTTAGCATCTATCTGATGGCTGTGATGATGTTGCTGCTGCTGCTGTTGCTGGAAGTGTATGTTGCTGTTGGTATGATAGTTGGCATTGCTGTTGTGATTCAGCAGGCCATGCTCAGCGTAGAGTTGGTTGTGTAGGGCAGAGAGGTTATCGTGTCCGTTCTGGTAGAGCATTTGTGCTGCAGCAAGGACATCTGAGCTCAGAGCGGTCGACCTATCCGGTGTAGACATGGTTCCTGATTGTTTGGCAGGGTGAGGGTGGTGAGACTGTGGTGTGGGTAGATTCGTAGCAGAGCCCTCAAAATTTGGCGGTAATTCAGGCCAGCTGAAGTTACTGCCAGGCTCAGCACCATTCTGCTCACCGAAGGAGAGCCAAAAGTCGTTGTTATCGAACTGGCTAGCATTTAGGGAGGTGAAGAGGTTGTCCAGCATGTTGGATTCACTATCGTCCAGGAGGGCGGGGCCCAGCGGACGTTCTGGCGCAGAATCAAATGGTGTGTCTTGCGGTGATATCAGGGCATCTGCCTCAGTCAGTCTTGTCTCTTCTATATTTATTCTCTTGTGCCTGCCCTCTCCTTCTCCCTCGTATACTTCAAAGGGATACGTACAGCCAAACGGCCCTGGTGGAGGGGTTGAAGAACCCTTCATATGATGGGCGGACTCAGAGAGCCCCAGCTCCATGCTACACGCAAGTCCACTGCCCAGGTGAGAGGAGTTCGAGTTTGGGTTGGCAGAGAAGAGAGACCGCCTGAACGGCGACACCGTCTCAGTCATGCAAGAAACCATTTAATGTGGCCAGGATTGGGATATGCTGGAGTATATCAACTGTGTATCGTAACGAGGGCGTCTTTTCCAACCCCCCCGTCAGCAGAAGTATAACTATATAACAACCGGTACACTCCAGGAACAGGAACCAGATAAAAATGGTCGAAGGCCAGCGTCAAGTGGTCCGTCAGCCAGGAACACCAGCGAAAGAGAGAAAGGGAGTCGGCAAGGTCGAGTCAAGCTGTCATGCCAGGACGCCGTGTAGTCAAGCAAGCCAGCAAGCAAGCAGATAGTAGTAGTAGTAGTAGTAGTTGTAGTAGTCGTAGAATCGAACAAAAAGTGTGGAGGAAGCAAGCCACCCTTTATCTTCTATCACATGCGACTCGCAAAGCCAAAAAAAGAAAAGGAAAAAAAGGCGTGCGGGCCGTGTGATCGCTGGCTGAGGTAAGCAGGATTGGGCCAATAGAAAAAGAGCGGAAGAAAGTCGAGCCGACCTCGATATGGGCGACCGGATGGTGGATGGTGGAAGGGCGACAGCGACAGCGACCAGCGAGGGCGAACGAAAAGATGAATGGAAGGAGAAGAGGGTGCAAGGGAGATGGCAGACGAGGGCGATAATAATAGTCGAGGGCTGCTAAGATACCGACACTGCGTTCACCGGGCTGGTCTCCCGATCTCTGATGGAGCGAGCGACCGCTAGAGGCCGACCCTTCTTATACATACGTATATATAGGTAGAGACTTCTGGTTTGCCCCAGTTGTCTAGCGTTGAGGCTATTGCGAGCTAGCTTTCCAGAAGTGTAGAAGACTCCGTCACTTT